CGAGGGATTAAGGTGTAGACCGATGGCCTCATCGGTGGCTTCTAGTCCGCCAGCAGTAACAGAACCCTGGATTATCTCAAACCAATCTTCTCCTGTCCCGATCTCCACACCCTCATGATCCGATCGTTGCATCACAACCAAAGCTTGGTCGGTTGCGATGGTAGCCTAGTTACTTCACCGTAAAATCGAACTTGTTGAATGACTAAGTCACCTGATTTTGATGTCATTCTCCGGCGATCGAAAAGAAAGTAAGAGAGAGTAGATGTGGTTGGTGTCGCTGGAAAAAAGAGGAGGAGCTGGTAGAGTTGTTTAGGTGGTTGTCGAGAGTGTGTGAGACAAAGGGAAGGAAACCGGGGAAAAGGGAAGGGGAACGATGGGTCAGTGCATATTTATTTTATTTTTTTTTTAATCTAAAATTAATAAATAAAAATTAAAAAAGAAATTATTAAGGGCAAAATCGTCTTTTTATGTATGGAGGGATGAGGTGTGCAACTTTTAACCAAACAAGGGACTGTCCGAGTTAATTTTTGAAAATAGGGATTAAACGTGTTTTCTGGCACATGCACGAGGGACGATTGGTGTAATTTACCCTATAAGTTATTTATTCATAATTCGTTGAAAATATATAGGACCCATCACATCGTTGAAAAAACTTATGGTAAGAACTTGTTAATTAGCAAGCCTTAAAAAAAAGTTTGTGTTAATTAGCAAGCCTTAAAAAAAGGTTTGAAAAAATTCTTCTAATATTTTTTTTCAATTTTCATGAGTTTTTTCCAGATGAAAAGCTCAAAAAAAAAACTTATGTAGTAAATGCTCAATCATGTGTAAAGTCGCAAGAAGCATATGCCAAATATTCAAATATGTAATAAGTAAAGAAAATGGGTGTTAGAGTTAAATAAGATATCAAAATAGGTTTGGTTATATGTTTTTTCTGATTCATACGCGTCAAAGTGGGGGAGACTATATTGATTTGTTAATATTTTTTTTAAATAAAAATATGATAAGATATAGCTAAATATATATATGGTAAAATTATTTGAGTATATGTGGTACAAGATACATTTGAAGCCCAATTGCACCCTCTAAGATCCGAGACTGGAATGGTCGGGCTAGACCCAACAGGTGTACATGGGCCTGATAATCCGATTCTGATTTATCCATGAATAGTGAAGATACTTTTGGTAAAATCCAGTTTTTAATGCCAAATTTTCCTGTGTTATATGCTCGTTTTCGGATACGTGAGAAACCAATTTTCATAAAATCTGGTCTGAAATCTTTGATTTTTATTTATTTATTTATTTTTATATTTGCTGATTTCTATAAGCTTTATATGAACAGTTATTACAAAGAAGTCAGGGACGAAAATCACATTTTTTTCATATATTTGAGTTTTGTCTTAACCGGTTAAAAAAACGGATAAAAATCCGGTTTCTAACTTTTGAGAAATCCAACCTCTATCCTTCGTATAGGATAAATCTGATTCGAAAAGATATCACAAAAATCAGATCCGGAAAAATTCGTCCTTTCTTGCGATGCTTATTATTTATTATTATTATTATTTTTAATTTTCTTTCTTGTGGATCACAGTAATGGCTGCTAAATATCGTAGTGTGGAGCTAGATGGGACGTTTTGGTACCCCAAAAAAATTATTTTATATATATATATATATATATATATATATATATATATATATATATATAATATTATTTATAAATATTTTTTATGTTATTGTACCCCCAACTAAGGAGATTATTACATATGTTTTAATGTACGATATTAGATAACTAAATATAATATATATTAACAATGTTTGTATCCCATATTAAAATTACTACTAGCCCACTGTTTGCACTTCACACTTCGTATTGCTTCTTTAGTTCTTTAATAACCATTATGGGCTGCATTTTAAAACATCATTTGAGACTCTATATGAATCACCATGGGTTGAAATTTATAGAGATCGGGCTGCCATATTCAGTCCATGGGCAATTATTTTTCTAAGAGTAAATTATAAAGCTTTGTCCCTGATGCTTAAATTTGTTTGAACTTGGACAAGTACCCGAATTTTGGCTAGGCTCATCCAAATTAATAAAACATGTTAACTAAGAGCATCCAAATTAATAAAACATGTTAACTAAAAGCATCCACAATGCGTTGAACTTTATAGAGTTCAATGGATTGTCACATTATTTTTCTATAATCCATACAACTTTATCATTTTTTTCCTACAATGCATTAAACTCTATAAAGTTCAATAGAATGTTACAAAATATAACTTATAATAAATATTTATGAATTAAAAAGTTTATTTTTTCCCATTGAAGAGTTCAATGACCATTAAACTCCAAATCCATTGAATGCTAAGGTGACATCTTACAATGATATAGTTTAATCCATTCAATGACCATTAAACTCCAAATCCATTGAGTGACATCTATAAAGTTCAATAGAATGTTACAAAATGTAACTTATAATAAATATTTATGAATTAAAAAGTTTATTTTTTCCCATTAAAGAGTTCAATGACCATTAAACTCCAAATCCATTGAATGCCAAGGTGACATCTTACAATGATATAGTTTAATCCATTCAATGACCATTAAACTCCAAATCCATTGAGTGACATCTATAAAGTTCAATAGAATGTTACAAAATGTAACTTATAATAAATATTTATGAATTAAAAAGTTTATTTTTTCCCATTAAAGAGTTCAATGACCATTAAACTCCAAATCCATTGAATGCCAAGGTGACATCTTACAATGATATAGTTTAATCCATTCAATGACCATTAAACTCCAAATCCATTGAGTGACATCTATAAAGTTCAATAGAATGTTACAAAATGTAACTTATAATAAATATTTATGAATTAAAAAGTTTATTTTTTCCCATTAAAGAGTTCAATGACCATTAAACTCCAAATCCATTGAATGCCAAGGTGACATCTTACAATGATATAGTTTAATCCATTGAATGACACATAGATTTGCCACCTTATTGATCTCTCTCATTGAACTCATCATTGTGGATGCTCTAAAAAGATATTTTTTTATTCATCTTTCTTTCAGAAACTATAATTTTTTCAAACTTATACCCTAAAATATTTCACTCCTATCTTTACCCTCTTCATTTTAGAGATAGTTGCTACCTCCGTCACTGGCAACTTGCTCCACGCTTACATCCTCTCTCCATTGCTACCATTTCTCTATGTTTCCAGAAAGACACCTCGCTTGCAATCTCTCTAATGCCAATATATATGAACAGTGAAAACTTTTAAGAATTTGTATGATTTCTTTTAAGAAAAAAAAAGTAATTGCATTTTAGATTAAGAGTTGAAAATGAAACAATAATAAGAAAGATCCACCCTTGCGGCCTTTCTCCACTACTTTGTTTTTTGATTTAATAGGATTAGTGGCGGTTTTATATAGGTGATCATAGTGGCACTAGCAACATCTATACTCGTAGTGTAAAAGTTTTGAAATTTTCTATTTTCTACTATAAAATATGCTACTAGTAATACCTATTACGAAATCCTAATTCAAGACACTAATTCTTAATCTATTCATTAATTTTCTTTTCTTTCCACTCCTTTTATATTTAAATATGTGAATATTTGTTAAAACTAATCAACTCCTTTTATATTAAATTAGATAAATATGGTTAAAACTAATTAATATTATGAATGCTCCAGTAAAAAGGGTGTGTATGGGGCGGTTTGGTTCGGTTATTGGTCAAAACCGAACCATAACCATTATGATTGGTTAATGTATTTTGGTACCATTGGGTATTGTTAATATTGGTTATGATTAATGGTTTTTTTCGGTTAACGGTTTTGGTTAATGGTTAATATTGGTTAACCATAATGTTCAAAATAATATAAACAAAGAAATTATAGTGGCAAAAAAATGAAAAGGGAATACAAAAGTCTTCGGCACCAATGTTTGTAACCTAGCTTATAATAATACAGTAAAATATGTATATTTGATACTCAGTGTGAGATAACACATAGTCACATTCAAAATCAAAAACATTTAATAAAAACTATAAAACATTAAAAAAGAAATCGACATTAATAACTTCATATATTGATAATCGATATTAACATTAAAATAAAACCAAACATTCATACACGTTCAATACGATTAAATAGAAAAACCTATAAAATAAAATAGCTAAACATTTATATTACGTGTTATCTAGATTAAAAAAACAATCACTCATATACATTCAATGTGATTAAGTAAAAAACAGTAAATAAAAAAAGAAAATTAAAAAAAAATACATTCTTAATATATCACAAAGTGAAGAAGAACCAAAAATTTAACTTACCTAGAAGTTTTGATTATAAATTAAAAAAATCATTAGAATAGAACTATAAAGTCAAAACAATCTTTTATTAGGATCAACGATGTGAAAAGCCTTCGATTAGGATTATGAGTGTGATGATTAAACTAATTGTTAACAATGTTTACAAATTATAGAATTAGCCGATTAAGAATTATAACATTAATCAATAATCTAGCTCAATGCATGATTGAAAAATTGTGTGTGTCTGCATGATCTACATAATCATCCTTTGATTGTTTTGATTGCACGTCCGTCTCCTGGTAAGTGAGGATTAATGAATTATACACTACTACAAAATAACACATAGAATACTGTTAAAACGAAGCATAGAATACGGTTTTGCAACCGTACTCTATAAGGGGGGTTTCCTATTCGAACATGTAATACAATACGGTTGTAAAACCGTACTCTATAATCATCATATAATACGGTTTTCTAGATAATACAGTACGGTTGCAAAACCGTACTCTACAATCATCATAAAGTACGGTTTTTTAGATAATATGATACGGTTGCAAAACCAATACTCTATAATCATTATAAAATACGGTTTTAGGGTTTTTTAAAAATAGCCTTATTCTTTAACGAAACACATAGAATACTACTTTTTCAATGTAACCGTAATCTTTTTAAAATATTTTAATCTACAGTTTCTTATTGCCTAAGGACATTCTAAATAAATATATTTCATAAATTAAACATAATAATTACAGTTTTCTATAAAAAAACATGTCTATAAATAATTTGTACACAAACATATCATGAACAATCAGGATGTATATAAAAGTCAAAATAAAAGCATGATTAGTCATTAATTTCTAAAATTAACAATATCCAATTCAAACATAATTTGCAATAATCCAAATTTATCCATCCTAATCAACAAAAGTTAAATATATAAAAAGACAAATAGATGCATCTAGTAGATGTCAAACTCCATAATTTCAGCCACATACCTGCCACATAAGAGAAGAAAAGAAACTAAAAGTTGCAACTAATGGAAAAAAGAGAACATATAACTTTCATGAGAAAAAAAAAAGAGATAACTGCAGGAAATAGCAACATAGTTTCATTTATTTGTTTATTAAGACATCCTACTATCATTTCTTCCTATTGTTATATATCACATAATAGCAAGATCCTCCAAATTCAAAGTTTTTTTTACAATATATATTTTTCGTAGTTTAATGTCCTAATAAGATAAAGATTTGAAAGTACGATGCTACAATAGGTTCATTTTTAAAAGTACAATGTCTTCATGAGTTTTTTTAGGTACAATGTTGTATAAAATTAAATGTAAGTGCAATGTTATAATAATCAAGTACATTAAAGTAAAATGATTTAATAAAAAAATTAGGTAAGAATAACTAACCTTTCAAAGGGGAACTTGACTCAAATACTTACTCTCGAACCTTGAACTCCACATAACGATGATTTCATTTAACACCCAATCCGGAAACGGATTTTTATCGTTCCAGTTGCTCTATATATAAGTTCAAAAATAAATTATAACTTAATAAATAATTTTTAACATATTAGACAAATTGCACAAAGATTTAAGATACATACTTTGTTTGGGAATTCATATTGTCGAGTCAACACGAACTCAAACATCCATCTCATGACATAAAAACCGCACTCCCAACCTAATGGTTGTTGGTTGCACTACAAATTTGAACAATAAAGGATTAAAGAACTTTACTTTGAACCTAGGGTTTTGATCCAATGATGGAACAGGTTCCGTGTTCCAGGTAACAGTTTTTAATAAAAAAAATAAAGAAGAAGCAGATTCAGGGTACCCATGAAGTACTTTTTACCTCAACAAGTGTCCAATTCATTGGATGTGTTGTCTCGATATCTTCTTTAAGACTTGCAACAGCCCTAAAATGAAGATTAGAAAAAAATAAATAAATAAAAAGCCATAGAAAGAAATAACAGTCGGATATACAAAAAGATTTCTTACTCTTCGACATATTTCACGACTATGTAGTTCTCCACGGCCTTTTCATTCGAATTTTTTAGGGAATCCAAGATATACCCTGTGCCTTTGTTAGGGCAGATTACTAGCAGCGTCCAATGTAATCTAGTAATGTTAATACATTTAGTATACACAATAAAGAAATAAAGCCAATAAAAATGAAAGCAGTAAGATTAAATACCCTTGCCAATAGGGTGCGACAAAAAACTCTTTGTCTTCATGGACGCGCATTGCATCGACAATGTAACTTACAACACCCCCACCATTTGACTCGCATATCGTTGCCTGAATCTCACTCGGGGAAATGAAAGCACATTTGTTCACTTTATTCCCACCATGTGTTTCAAGCATTGAATGTAACATGCTACAAACCAAAAAATATACATTATAAATGTAAATACTATAAACAAAAATAATTTAAACATTGTTGTTTGTACTTACATTTGAAACCAAGTTATGACACTAATATCAAGCCATTGTTTATTCAACAGGCGTAAAATCTCCTCGGGGTAAATGTATGTTTCAATTTTCTGAGCTCCAAGGATCCCTGGTTCGGCTTCAACATAAATCGCATCACCAGGAGCTTCACGATTCATCAAACGTTTATACATTCTTCTCATGACCAGGGGCATTTTTTCTAGCTCGACTTGCTTATTAGAAGTATGTGGTATCAAACTTTCCTTTGCTGGCTTGATCTTCTTCATAACACCCTTTGAGATTGCTGGCACACTCTTGGTTATGCGAGGTTGCTTTGTTTTTGTATGCACATTAAAAAATTGTTTGATTATCACACATTGGTACAATTTAACATATATGCATATAATAACTAATAAGGTTTGAGAAATTACCGGGTCGGTAGCTACCGGTAGAGAGGAACATCTTTTATCTTGTTCAACATTTAGGTTGACCTGTGAGGGCTGTTAACAAGTTAGATGTTTGCACAACTATTTATTACTCTAATACTAAACAATGTTAACGATAATTCTATGTACCTGAATGATCTTAATTGCATTCCTTGGCCACTGAACTATACCATGAAGCGCCTCATACAGCTTACTCGCTTCTTCGGTCGAGACAGGAAGAGGGATACAATCATATTGATCATAGATCTTGTCTATGGATACCTTCAAATGATTTGCATTTAAAGGAACTGAATGTATTTGTCCATTCCCATATGGAAAGACCATCCCTTTTGCACATTTCTGGTTCATCGCGCCGTATGGTATCATTAACTCGCAAGTAGTAGGAGTCTGCAAACATATAATGTACATGTTAATATATGATCAAATATCTTGTATATAAGAAAAAAACAGATGATTACCTTTATCCCATCCAACTCATCTGATACAGTAGAGACGACACTATTTTTCTTCAACACCGGACTGGTAATGTGTCTGCCTTCATTTTTTGAGAGAAACCGATGCATATATGTTTTCATCTCTTCAATCTGAGCATTCATCTCTTCTATCTTGGCTTCCATTTTGGCCTCCATCATAGCCTCTACCTCGATCCTCATCTTCTCCTTCATATCTTCAAAGGTATTTTTATCATGGCTCTTCCTTTTTTTCTTATCAACCCTAGGCATGGATTGTCTCAAGCCAACATTGTGCCCAACAGCCCTCGTACGACCTGGATGCTCGGGTCCTAACACCTCTGTAAGCACATCTTCTCCAGGTCCAGGAAACCAATCTCCATGAGATAATTGGGTATCTTTTTCAATCTGTTAGTCCAAATAAAATTGCAAGGGTAGTTAAATTCTAAATAGTTTTAAAATAAATGATAACATTACAAAATGAATACTTAACTTACCAAGTCAGATGCCAAGGGGTAGAGATTAGTAGGTAACGAGTACATCCCTGTGGGATCACGTTTTAACCTAGCAAGGATAAAATTCCTTGCACGTTCACTTCTTATATTATGGAACTCTGTTGAATTACCAGACTCCATCTCCTTTTCCCATTGAGGTTTCATACCACGATAACCACGTGGGCCTATCCGTGGTGGATACTTATTCAACCTTGCAGTCTCTGTAGCTTTGTTGCTTATTTCCTAGAAAGAAGTAGCAGAATTAGAAACATTGCAATATCCTATTATCATATAAAGAGGGGTAAAGTGAGCTAAACCTGGAAGCTCGGTGATGTTTTGAGTTGAACAAAAGCGTTCCATGTAGGCTCATCCAGGTATGGATATTCAGATACTGGATTTCTACCCTTCTTTAGGTATTCGTTAACAAGCCTGCTCTTGTAAGCCTTCCATGCCTGATTGCAAATTTTTAGTACCTGTTTTTTGTGGCTATCATCTTCTATATTCCAATGTTTCTGTTTTTTTTACAATAAATATTAGTAATATATATATATATATATATATATATATATATATATATATATATATATATATATATATATATATGAATGTATCAATTAAATGAAAGTATAATTAACAAGATCACACAAATACCTTAATGTTTAACCACAGTTCATCAACTTCAGCCTTAGGAACTTCATCCCAACGCAATATGAGGATAGAAATCCTCGTCCTTACCATGACTCCACAATAATTGCTAAACTGAGATTGGGTAGCTCCGATATTTTGGCCTAGCTCATCAAATTCAATTTCCAAATCCACTTTGTTTCTCGGGTTTCCCCTTATCAGTGTCACACTTCTTTTTTTCCTTTGTGGTTGATCCATTGTATGCCTACAAAACCAAGTAACATAATTTCAGATATGCATATTAAGGAAGTTATTGTTAATGTGTATTATGGTGAAGAAAAAGACAGAAGTTGAAATAGGTGTATGATGATGATTGTTGGCTTCTTCAAATTGAGAAGTCAGCATGCTAACTTCAGTTAAATATCCCCAGAACAAGATATTTGTTAGGAAAGTTTGTGAATCCCCATTTTCTGTTGATTCTTCTTGTGTTTGACGAATTTCAAACAAATACTCAGACTGAAATTTCAATCTGATCGGAAACAGGGTTTCTGCACATAGGGGAAGTTGAATGTGAATGAAACCACATATCAATGCATCATTCAACATGAAATCCATGGCTACAGTAGAATTCTGAGTTTTTTCTCCTTCATCGAGCTCTAATATACAAACAATACACGGTAATCCATCTTTGAAGTCATTTGGGTCGAACCGGAATACCAATTCTCATTTATATTTTCTGTAACAAAATACTACATCGCTAACTTGAAAGTGCGAAGTTACAATTTGTTATATGCACAGAAACCAGGAAAGAAAAGAACTTGAAAAAGTTTGATAGTATGACACTAATTTGTGCCTGTATCTTGGGTTTCGTTCACGAAATGGGGGAAAATGATGATTAGAAGAATTACCTGTTCTCACAAATCGATTGAACTGCTCTTTGCTTTCGTCCCTGTGGTATGCTCTTCGATGCTCTCAGAGAATTTTCTTTGATCCGTCAACTGCATTCTCAAGTGTTAAACCCTAAAATTGAATTTAGCGGGGAAAAATGCGCGCCTAAAATTGCTCCTACCATGATCTAATGGATCATGGGGTACTAATTTCTCGAAAATTAGCAGTGTTTTCCTCAGCATTTTGATCGTGGAGCAACTGAAACTCACACCCATTTTTATGTGATATTGAAAAGAATATTAGGATTTAAGAAAAATTATGAGTACCTTTGGCATATAACCATCGGTATACTCATAATAAATAAAGGTGTTAATTAATGATTATAAAAGTAATAAATATCGTAAGTGTACGTTTTCCTTTTTTTTTTTTTTCTTCTTTTTTTAATAGCCAAGTAATCCTTATACTATATCTATAAATATTAATATTGTAAAGGTATACATACATATCTACATGCATACACATAAATATTTATAGCATTTATAAAGCTTTTTTTAACGTAGTTTACTAGTGCAATGAAAATAATATAATATTTTAACCAAAAATACTAGAATTATTTATAACTTACCAAAATTCTAAAAATAATTTGAATCATGTTCAAGCATCTTCCATTATTTTCCATTTTAATGTCTTTTCTCCTGACGTGTTACTGTAAAAATACAAATTGTAATAATTGTTATTATAAAGTACTAAAAATTTATAATCACTTTTTTTAGTTTCACGACAGATAAATAGTTTATTACCTTTCTTGCTTTCCGTTTGCGTTTTTTTGCAATCCATAATCCTTCATTGTGATCTGATCTTAAATAAGCAGTATCATCAATATCGACATTTGTAGATGGGATACCGATAGAAAATGGGGGTAGTTCGTCAAACTGATTGTATTCTTCCTCGTCCACTACATTTTCAATGCCAACTATACGTCGTTTACCATGCAAGACAATCTGCCATGTCGAATCTTTTGGGTCCTCCACGAAGAATACTTGGGTAGCTTGTTTTGCTAGGATGAATGGTTCAGATGCATAACCGTCTGTGGAAAGATCAACAAGTGTGAAACCGTCGTTGTCAATTTTAACACCTTGTCGATTGTCGACCCATTTACACTTCAACATTGCTATAGCAAAGGAATTATAATTCAATTCCCAAATTTCTTGGATGACACCATAATAAGAATTTTTAGCAATCCTCGACCTTGTTTCATGGTTTGTGCTATAAAATTCTGTCGATGATGCTATTAGCGTCACCCCGCTATTTTGATGCGTACTTTTATCATCTTGCTTCTTAGTATAAAATGTATACCCATTAATGTCATAGCCTTGGTATGTTGCAACAACATGTTGTGGGCCGTTCCCCAACTCCACTACTAATGGATCCATGTTTTCTCCCCCATAACTTTGTTTCACCTTGTCTTTCAACCATTGTGAAAAAGTTTTATTATGCTCAGTGGTCAACCATCGATCACTCTTATTTTTATTTTTTTCTTTTAATAGTAACTTGTGCTCATTTATGTATGGAGCAACCACTGTCATGTGTTGTAAGACAGTAAAATGTGCAATGTGGAAACTATTTCTGTCTGGAACCACCATTTTCAATCCAACTGTCCCAACCCCTTCAAGTCTTCCCTCGTGTCGAGAATGTGGAACCCCTATACTTTTCACACCTTTTAAATAGCTTGTACAAAACTCAATTACCTCTTCTGTGGCATATCCTTCAACAATACTGCCTTCTGGTCGATGTCGGTTCCTTACATACCCTTTTAAGAAACCCATATATCTCTCGAATGGATACATGTGTCGTAAGAATATCGGACCACAGGCCTTAATTTCTCTTACAAGATGGGATATTAGATGAACCATGATATCAAAAAAGGAAGGTGGAAAATATATCTCGAGTTGGCAGAGAGTGATGATAATATCACGTTGCCATGAATCTAACACCTCGGGGTTAATCACTTTCGAATGAATCATGTTAAAAAATAAACAGAGCTTTGTGATTGCATGTCGGACACCGTCTGGCATTATTCCACGAATTGCAATGGGAATCATATGTGTCAACAGAACATGACAATCATGAGACTTCATACCAAGCAATTTCAAGTCTTTCATTGACACCAACTTCTTAATGTTAGCAGAATAGCCGGATGGGACTTTCACCCCGTGCAAACATTTACAAAATTTGGTCTTCTCGGCCTTAGACATTGTATAACAAGTTGGTGGTAGATACGTACGCTTTCCATCACTCTTAACAGGTGCAAGTTCCGGCCGAATTCCCATTTCGACCAAGTCTTCTCGAACTTTGATACCATCCTTCGTTTTCCAAGGAATATTCAATAACAAGCCTATCAAACTTTCAAAAACATTTTTCCCAATATGCATCGGATCAAGACAATGTCGGACTTCCAAGTGCTTCCAATATGGCAACTCCCAAAAAATAGACCTCTTCTTCCAAATATTTTTTGGAGGCTTCTTACAACACTTTCCAAACATAATGTTCAAGTCATTAACTCGTGATAATACATCTTCTCCCTTCATTGTTGGTCTTGTCAATCTGTCTTCAATTTTACCATCGAACAAATGTTTTTGTGTACGATACACATGTTTTACTGGAAGGGACCTTCTATGACCCATGAATACATTCTTCTTACAATTTTTTAACCATAATGAGCATGTGTCATCTTCACAAATAGGACATGCCTTTCCTCCTTTTGTAGTATATCCTGACAAGTTTCCATATGCTGGAAAATCACTTATGGTGCAATAAATCATCGCTCGGAGTTGGAAAAATTCCTTCATGTAGGCATCATATACTTCTACACCTAAGTTCCATAATTCCTTCATATCATCAATTAATGGAGCCAAATACACATCAATATCATTCCCAGGTTGCTTCGGACCTTGAATTAGAAAAGTCATCATGATATATTTTCGTTTCATGCATAACCAAGGTGGAAGATTATAGATGCATAAAAGTACCGGCCATGTGCTATGGCGACTACTCATACTTCCGAACGGATTAATTCCATCTGAACTAAGTCCAAACCTAATATTTCTAATCTCCTTACCAAATTCTTCAAAATTGGAATCAATATTCCTCCATTGTGGTGAATCAGCAACATGTCTCATATTTTCATCTATTATACGATCTTCAGCATGCCAACGTAATAGTTTGGCTTCTTTGGCATTCGTAAATAATCGTTTAAGTCTTGGTATGATAGGAAAATACCATAATAATTTAGCAGGGGGGCCATTCTTTGTCACATCACTATTTTTTTCTGTTTCGCTTTCTCGCTTATACCGCGATGTTCCACATGTAACACATTCATGTAGGTCAGCATACTCGTTTCTATAAAGGATACAATCGTTTGGACATGCATGTATTCTTTCAATTTCCAAGCCCATTGGGCACACCAGTTTCTTTGCTTGATATAATGAATTAGGTAACTCATTTTCTTCGGGAAGCATTTCATGCAATATCTCTAATAGGCTTGTGAAACTCTTATCACTCCAACCATTGTTTGCTTTTAAGTTAAGCAACTTTAGCACAGCTGAAAGTTTGGTAAATTTTGTACATCCAACATACAATGGTTTTTCAGAGTCTTCAAACAATTGTTGGAATTTTTGATGATCTTTTTCCGCAACATTATCCTCCAGATCATGCAACATGTCATCTAAACCATCACAACTCTCATTATCCAAATGATCACCAGCCTCATCATGACTACACTCTGGCGCAGTTGTATCATGATCAATTAACAGTTCACCATGTCGTGACCATCGTGTGTACCCAGTCATAAACCCCTCACATATTAGATGTTCTTGTATTATTGCAGAATCATTAAACTTATGACAATTTTGACACTTTTCACAAGGACACCAGATGTGACTTTCTCCTTTATTCTTCCGATTATCCTCAGCTACTTTAAGAAAATCAAGCAAACTTGCCAAATATTTTTTGCTAGCACGTGGTATTTCATACATCCAAGTATTGCGATCCATCTGGAATTTAAATAATAAATTAACAAGCAATATGATGCATGCATAATATACAAAATGTTATTCCAAGTGGCAAAAATGCTAAACCACTTTTTTAATATTTTTTTTTTGTCTATGTGAACATGAATTAAGATATTGACTACTTAAGAAGAAACAAACAATATTTCACTTAAACTCTCCATATTTGACTAAAATAATCAACTCTATCTTATGGAAAACATACATGACTTTATTCTCATTTATTTAATTCAAATTGCATCCTATAAACCATATCCATTTTAATAGGTTATTATGTAGTGGAATACATAACTAAATAAAAAACAATGATATCGTATATTATTATTATTATTATTATTATTATTATTATTATTATTAAAAAACAAAATAAATTAAACAAATACAAAAATGCTTCCTGAAAATAGGGGTCAAATAATCTCACTGCTGTTATTTTTATTTATATTTTAAATTATAATCTTTTCTTAATATTAATATATTATTTTTTTTACTTATAATATATTATACTAGGCCTTCTAGAGTACCGGCAACGAACCTTATCGTCGTCTAGCTAGCTACTAACCACGAATATGAACACCACCTTGATTCTCTCATTGTGTTGACTTGGAGCCACAATTGTGGTCTCTCGTGCTTCCCGCCACAACCAATCTTCTTCTCTATTCCTCTCTTCTTCTCTGTTGTAGGTGAAATCGACCACCACCACAATCACAGTGTGATGAGTATACCAATTTCGTTATGGAAGGAAGGTGGAAGTCGATGATGCTAAGATGGTGGTGGGGGTGATGGTGGCGTGTAATGATGGTGGGTAGTGGTAAGGTGGGTGGCAGTGGTGGTTGGCGGGTGGTGGTTGCATGTGGTGGTGGTAGTGGTTTCAATGGGTGATGGGTGGTGATATCAATGTGTGATGGATAGTGGGTGGTGGTTGGTGGTAGTGGAGGGTGTTGGTAATGGTGGTGGGTGGTGGTTGTTTGGTGTGTGATGGGTGGGGTGGTGGTGGCGGGTAGTAGTGATAGGTGGTGAGTGGTGTAGGTTAGTGGTGGGTAGTAGGTGGTGGTGGTGGTGTATGGTAGTTTTGGTGGGTGATGAGTCTAGTGGTGGTGATGGGCGATGGAGGTGGGTGGTGATCGGTGGTCGGTAGTGATGGTGGTAGGTGGTGGTGGTCGTAGTGGGTGGTGGTGATAGATGGTGGAGGCAGGTGGTGGGTGGGTGGGTGGGGGTGGTGGTGATGTGTGGTGGAGGCGGGTGGTGGTGATGGTGGTAGGTGGTGGTAATGGCGGCTGGTTATCATAATGATGGGGGGTGGTAGTGGTGGGTGGTGAAGGTGGGTGGGTAGTGGTTGTGGTGTGTGGTGGTAGCGAGTGGTGGTGGTGGTGGGAGCGGGTGGTGGTGTCGGTGGTGATGAGTGGTGGATGATGGTTGCGATTGACGGTAGTAGGGGTTGATGATGCTGGTGGGTGGTGGTTTTTGTGGGTGGTGGTGGTGGTGATGGTGATGGTTGGTGGTGGTGGTGGGTGGTGTTGGTTAGTAGGATTTTGATTTTTTTACTTATTTTTTATTTATATTAAAATTATTTGATGATTTTAATTAAAAAATCATTATGGTCAAAATTGTTTATCTATAATATATATATATATATATATATATATATATATATATATATATATATATATATATATATATATATATATATATATATATATATATATATATATGGGAAAAGTGTATAAACCCTTAAGGGTATATAAGTTTACGTACCCAAACTCGCTATACTACATCGTATTGTATTATATAATACATTTTAATTATCCAATGTTCTTATAACTTAACTTCTAACTTAATTACTTCCATGATTTTTATAAATTATTCATTTATCTTTCTCTTACATAATTTCCATTTTCAACTACAATATATATAACCTATTAGGTGTTCGGCAAAAACGTGTGATGTAAGAGAGATAATAGTGAAATTTCGAAAATTTTGAAAATAAATCATAGTAAGAGTTGAAGTTTAAGAACATTTTAATGAATATATCAAACAAAACGACATAGTATGGTGTGTTTGGGTACGTAAGCTTATATACCCTTAAGGGTATATTCACTTTTCCCTATATATATATATATATATATATATATATATATATATATATATATATATATATATATATATATATAATCCGTTAGTTGAAACTTTATAATTTTTAAGATCTTTTATATATATATTTTAATTATTTATTTGTAAATAAAAAGAGTAAGCTTAATAAAATCTATACAAATAATTAGATAGTGTCTTGTATAATAATCGTATTAATATATATTTTAAAGGATTATTTAATAATTAGTTGTACTTGTAATATAATAATAAGAATAAAATCAAAATTATATTATTTATCTTATAAAATTATATTTTTAGATATATCAATTAAAAAAAAGGATCAAATAAATATATATAGTTATGTCGTAATTGTAATTGTGTTTCCATATATATATAATATTTAAATATATAAAGTAATAAAATAAAATATAACAAAGGTTACATATGATATCTAAGGAGGGTACAATTAGGGCGGCGGCAAACAGATGAGTGAAAGAAACAGATAACCTTTAACAACTTTTCATTGCACAATTAAGAATTTTGACAGCTAGCATTTAAGAACTTTTCATCTACACAAGGAACCAATTGTTTTTTCTTATATAAAAATAATAGCCTCTTCATCTACAAAAGCAATCGACGGAGAAGAAGTAAAGCAAAAGAGAGTCAAGAGGTGAGAGTTAGACAGCATATATACATACATCGATTCGAGAGGGAGATACCTTAAAAGAGTTCTGACTAGCGACGGAAGATGGTTTCGTTGAGCGACTGACTGCCGACCTCTTGGTGGTGACCGGTCCAACGGTATGATTTTTTCTTTTATGCTCTATCTGTTTAATTTCTTTTATGCTCTATCTGTTTAATTTCTTTTATCCTCTTAGGAATCCAACGGTATGATTTTTTAATTTAGAATTTTCAAAATTTAATTTGTATGATTCTAACCCAGTTAGAAAGGAGGACTCGGTCCTCAATCAGAAGATGTTGTATTTGATTTATCGACAGACTCGGTCCAAAGAATTCTGAGGATTCGGTCTCATCTCAAAACCTCATGGCCGAGACCAAGCATCATGTTTTCCTTCCTTGCCCTTCTCCTTCTTTTATATGTGCCTTCTTCTCCATCGCGTATACTTACATCGACTTCCACTTCAACGCATCAGGGTAACAACTATGAACTCCGAAATCAGATAACTTTCAGCTTTTTTTCTTGTAAATGCTATTTGAAATCAGATAACTTATAATGTTCGGATCTGTTATCTATACATGGAATCTATTTCTTGCAAAATAAATTTGAAAGTGACATTGAATCTGATTTGAACCTGTTTTGTGATCTTTCTCTAAGTGGTTATATGATGTAGACAATTTTTTGTATCACCTGTTTGTGATTAGTTCGAATATGTATTTTGTACATGGAATTTGTTAGTGTTTATGGAGTATTTAATGTTGAATGTCGAATCTGGTGCAATGCCTTGCTCTTCCCTGATGCCCTGTTGCTTTTTTGTACAACTTGTTTCATATTTTGACCATTTTGTCCTTGGTACCAGTTTGGGTTATATTTTGACCATTTTGTCCTTGGTACCGGTTTGGAAACGCATATGGTGCAGTTTAGTAGTACAGGAGTGCAGTATGTTTTGTTTTATCTTTTGACCATCTTGAATGGTCTTGAAAAGGAATAAGTAGTGTAGGGGTATGTTGGTCATGATTTTGTCCTTTAGTTTCATTCTAGGCCTTTTAATTTTCCATCATTTTTACTAATTAATTCATGCATCTAATGTAGGGGAAGATCTTGGAGGATTTAGAGGCACAATTACAAGTTGCTACATCATCAATTGATCCATCTTGCAGTGGGTGGTTAAGGCTATTGTCCATCTTTATTGCATGATTTCATTTTCATAATACATTGACTGGTTTGTATTAAATTTGATTTTAACTTTTGTGTTAACTTTGAATGGTTTGTATTCATAAAGATTGTTACATTTTTTGTATTGAGGAAACAAAAAAAATTAAAGATGTTTAGGTTTTTGGATCAAACAACCACCTGAAAATATGCTTGTTTTTTTAGGGATACGTTAGAGACCAAGAGGGCAGAATAGGTATATTGGTGAAAATATGGTTTAGTTTTTTCTTCGGTCGTCTCTTTATCAATTTTCATTGAAAAAACTAACAAAAAACAATTTTTAGTGCAGTGGATACATCACAAGTTGCGAGGAAGAATGTAGTATTTTTTTGTTTTTCAATGGTGGTTTTTTGTTTTAAAATACACATACATACTATTATATATGTTAATAAAGTACTGTTGGTTATGAAAACAGTATTCTATTTGATTTTGTACGGATTGTTTTTTGTGAACAGTACTCTATCTCTAATATGATACGGATTCTTATACAACCGTATTCTATTAAGAGTATTCTATTTGCCGCTTTGTAGTAGTGATATTTTGAAATTTTAATGGGTCTTAAATAAGTTTAACTATATTATTTTATATATAATCCATAATTTTTATGTATTAAAATATAAAATTAGCGGTTCGGTTAATAATGATTCGGTTAACCTATAAAACCATAACCGAACCGTTTGTTATCGGTTAACAAAAATTAGAAACCGAACCAACGGTTTTTAAAACGGTTCGGTTATTATGGTTCGGTTATATCGGTTAATTTGGTTATGGTTCGGTTTTTCGGTTATTATGCTCACCCCTAAGTAAAATGATTATTTAATTTTATTCATACGGTATCTTCCATAAAAAAACATATTCATTAGTATTTGATAAAATTAAACCTTCGATCACATAACATCTCTTTATTTATAACTTCCCTCCGACCAATATTCTAGCAAGATTTTTTATTTTTATTGTTTTTATTTTTTTTTATTTTTAGAAGCATTCATATATTATGATTATTATAAGATCAAAATTATAGTAAAATAACTTGAAGATCGGTTTTTAGTTTGTAATTCGCCAATAAAAACACAGAAACTACTCATTTATTCAACCTCAACCACACTTGTTTCTTCTTTCTTCACACAAGTCCCAATCCATTTCAAACACCTCAAAAATGACGACCCACGTCAAAGATTTCTTCGCCGGAATCTTGGACTCCGGTAAGAACATCAACTTATCCAACAAAAGAAAAAAACTCTTCTTAACTACTTTTACATCAATCCTACTACTCTCGGCTGTAATCGGCATTGTCATCGGAGTCAAATCTCGAAACTCCACCACAGAAAGCATCAGAGTTTCAGCCGCCCATGCCGTCGTAAAATCATCATGCAGCGCCACCTTGTACCCAGAACTATGCTATTCCACCATCACCAGCCACCCCGATATGACCAAAAAGGTCAAAACCCAAAAGGACGTGATCGAGCTTGCTGTTAATATAACAACCACTGCCGTCGAGCACAGCTACTTCCAGATAAAGAAACTCACCACTCGCAAAGGTCTAACGCAGCGCCAGATCACGGCGCTTCACGACTGCCTGGAGATGGTATCGGAGACATTGGACGACCTCCACGATGTCATCAAAGACCTCGAAGAGTATCAAACCAAAAAATCCATCAAGCAGCATGCCGACGACCTCAAGACGCTAATGAGCTCCGCCATCACCAACCAAGAAACTTGTCTCGACGGCTTCTCCCACGACGAAGCGGACAAGAAACTCCGTAAATCGCTGGAAAAAAGCGAGAGGAGAGTGGAGAAGATGTGCAGCAATGCATTGGCCATGATTTGTAACATGACGAGAACAGATTTGGCGAATGAGAGGAAAATTAACGGGAGGAAATTGAAGGAGGAACAGAATAATGCATGGCCGGAGTGGTTATCTACCGGAGATAGGAGGTTGTTGCAGTCAGGGACGGTGAAGGCAAACGTGGTGGTTGCTGCCGATGGTAGTGGAAACTACAAGACGGTGGCGGCTGCGGTGGCAGCAGCGCCGTCAAAGAGCAAGACAAGGTACGTGATTAGGATAAAGGCCGGTGTTTACCGGGAAAACGTGGAGGTGCCGTCGGCCAAAACTAACATAATGTTTATGGGAGATGGAAGAAAGAATACCATCATCACCGGTAGCCGGAGCGTTAAAGGAGGAAGCACCACTTTCGATTCCGCCACCGTGGGTTAGTCATCATATCCCTTTTTCTGATATTCTTGAAAAGTGTCGTTATTAATTTATTGTAGAGCTTTTCGTAAACAATTTTTTGCATTATAAATTTAAAAAAGTAGTCCAGTGTTATTCGATATGACCGCATGCGTATTCTGTTTTTAGTTATGTCTTTTTTAATATTTCAAAGATACATATGCTTATTCTGTTTGAATGTCTGTCTCGATCTCGATCTATTTCCAAAGTAGACAAAATTTTAATTATTAAATGAGTACTAATGTATTATGATCTGTGTAGTCTTCTCTATAATTTATAATTTGCAAGAGAACTTTTTTAATTAATAACCCAAAATTATTTTTCGTTCATTTATCATGTGTTCTAAATATGCTTATTATATTTATTTACATATATAATAATTTTCCTTCATTTTAGAACTTCAAAAGTTGAGCTTTCACGTGGAGGTTCAGCATTTTTAAACCTATCAATCTTATTGGGACATACACAGAGCAGCATCTTCGTTATCTTATTCATTTTTCTATAACTAAAATAAAAGTGCCCACCTGTTTTTTGTTTTAACGTATAAATCAAATACAATACCATATTTCATGATAAACTAAAAGATAATATAAATATTACTCTTTGTTTGAACACACCTACTACACATCATTGTATCATTACCTTAAGTTTTTTTTTTTTTTTTTTTTTTTTTTTTTAATCCTAAACTAGTCCTTAAATCCAACTACCTTTGGTGTATCATTATCTTAAGTAACATCATGTATTAATGGATTTAAATCTTACTATTAATTTATTATACATGTATTATTTTTGTTTTTCAATTCAAAATAAAACTCATAATAAACAACTATGGCGTTGAGGCAGCTGTCGTAGGTGATGGATTCTTAGCACGTGACATAACATTTCAAAACACCGCCGGAGCTGCAAACCACCAAGCGGGGGCACTTCGCGTCGGCTCAGATTTTTCCGCATTCTATCAATGTGACATGTTGGCATACCAAGACACCCTTTACGTCCACAGTAACCGTCAATTTTACATCAACTGCTTCATCGCCGGCACCGTGGATTTCATCTTCGGCAACGCTGCAGTGGTATTCCAGAACTGCGACATCCATGCACGCCGCCCTGGACCCGGTCAAAAGAACATGCTCACGGCACAAGGCCGCACCGACCCTAACCAAAACACAGGGATTGTGATTCAAAAGTGCAGGATAGGTGCCACTTCCGACCTCCTACCGGTGATAGGGAGTTTTCCGACGTATCTAGGACGACCATGGAAACTCTATTCAAGAACTGTGGTGATGCAATCAACGGTTAGCAATGTGATTCATCCAGCCGGATGGTTTGAGTGGGATGGGAACTTTGCGCTTGATAGTTTAAGCTACCGTGAATACCAGAACACTGGTGCCGGAGCTGGAACTTCCGGTAGAGTAAAATGGAAAGGGTTCAAGGTGATTACAAGTTCATCAGAGGCTCAAGGGTATACTCCGGCAAACTTCATTTCAGGGGGTAGTTGGTTAAGCTCTACTACCTTCCCTTATTCACTCAATCTGTGAACAAATGGATCGATTTAGGGTAACTGTTGTGTGTAAGAGGATGAAAGTTTTGTATCGAATAATTTGGTTGTTTTCTTTAGGTGGAGTTTGACGTTGCCGATGTGAGTTTTTTAATCCACTTTTCATTAGTTTTCTGGATGACATGTTGCAAATATGCTGACATGTTAGATTATGTGACAACTTGAATTATAAATGCTGCACTTCTTCAAGACCTTTTTAAGAAATTAAACAAAGTGCAAATTGCTTTACCCATTAGGGAATAGACAGTTTCATACAATTGTTTGTGTTACTTTGCTAGTCAAATATAAAAGAAAGAAATGCACGTAGAGCTAGAAAAGGCACTGACTTAATACATTCTTCCTTTGTTAAACGAGCACATGGGTGGAGAAGCCTATCTTTCCATTGACTTTCAACATTTCCATGGTAAACACTTGGAAATCCATCCCTTCTAACCACACACTTTGGTACTTGTATAATAGCACAACTTACAACTAACCAATGCTTGAGCTAAGAAAGGATATGCAAGGAGTTTGTGAACTCACAGCACGAATATATGCATTACTATAAACACCAAGAATGTTTTACCCAATATGATTCCCTCCGCCATGATAGGTATGAGTCCTCCCATCCACGTTATATTTTTCTAGGTCATATGCTATATCACTCTCTACACCATACCACTCTACACCATACCATTTCAGCCAGGGGCGGAGCACGAGAAATTGTAGATTAACAAACAACAAATAATATTTTCATAATATTATAAAGGTTAAGGTGTAAGTTTTTATTTATGACAATGTATTCGTATATCTCTTTCTAATATATCTCTTCCTAAGTTTCAAACATATAATATTATAAAGAGTGAAAGACAAAACAAAAGAGAGAGAACAAAGAAGCGTACAGATTTGGCCGATATGAGATATCGGAGAGTGATGTGTGTAAAATCAACTACTTTTAATCCTACTTATAAAATGTAAATTAATCACACAAAAGGTAGTGAACCTGTCTATTTGTGGTATAGTTTTAGTAAGCATGGTATCGAACACAGGGAACGGTAAATAATTAAAAGAAATGCTAATATTATCTAAATAAAACAAGTAATAGAAAGGGGGTTTCTCTAGTTCTACAAGACTAGAAACTTAAACAATTAACTAAAACTTAAACTAAGAAACTAAGAGCTAAGCAAATAAAAATCAACTAATTTCAATAATAAAGAGGACTTCTGTTTAGGTTCAATTCATTTGTTCCCATGGATGATTTCAATGTATCGGATTAATTCTTCATTTGCTACCAACTAAGATGATTAGTTTCACGTTCGTTATTACTAATCCTTAGGAAACAAATTAACTCAAGTAGTGGCCATTTGTCTAAATTAACGGATTTCCTAGTTATTGATTCGGGTTAAATAAGACTTGTAATGGTTAATTAAATTGGCCTTCAATTAACCTCTTGCTGATGTTCATCAAACAAGCTCACACATTAACTTACCTATCTTCTAGTTAATTCTAGTTTCACATTCGTTATTCCTAGACATACAACTATATGGTCACAATAAATCATATGAAATTAATAACTAAGAGATGTTCATACAACTTAATTACTGATTTATTAACATAAGAATAGTTATTGTTAACACATAAGGTTCTTTAACAAGCTTAATAAAACATAATCACCAATTAAAATTAATCCTAATCAAATAATCAATCCATGTTCACAAATTCATCTACCTAAACAAAAGTTATGAGTTTTAGCTCATGATTACAACAAAAACAAGTTCAAAAACGAAATCAATTGGTAAAAACATAGTTCAAACAAGAGATTAGGTAAGAGTAAACTTGATTTTGACTTGATTCTCCTTAAAATTGAATGTAGGGTTGATTCCTTAACTTCCCACACTCCAGCAACACCTTTAGTCGACAATTGGCCTCCAAGGGTTCATCTATATCCTAGGGTATCGATCTGAAAGTCCCTTTATAGAGTTTTTCACAAAACAGGGGCTACTCGGCGAGTCCAGTAACTTACTCGACGAGTCTGCCACTTAAAACCCATGTACCGCAAGTCAACGCGTCCAGAATCGCGAAAGTTCGAAGTGACTCGTCGAGTTTACGGCCTACTCATCGAGTACGTTTGGAATCAACATTTTCTCAAAACACGAAAGTCGTCCGAAATTGTGTTTAGTTTTCAGTGAATCTCGTCAATCGGAGTTACGGTTCATGATATATGTCCAAAACACTGACGAGGGGTCAAGCTATCCGGCAACATCCTTCTTTCTTCAAAATCCAAGATCCAAGCTTCCACTCGCTAGTTTCGCTTCCTTTTCCATCCGAGTATGCAATTGTTGTTGAAAAATGAAATTATAAACTAATTAAGCATCTTTTGTTCATTAAATCAGACAAAAACTGTTGGAATAGTGTCTAAGGCTGCAACTATATTAGGCAAGTATTTGACCCGATTGTGCATGGTCCTTTTGGGTTGCCTTCACCATAGCAACTTGACAAGATGATTTATTATGAGAATAATATAAGGAATAATAATATTGTTATTTGATTAATATAAGTCATAGATTAATTAGTATTAATTTGGTGACTTAAAGAGATTAATTAAATAAGAGGGTATAAACTGTCAATTGTTTGATAATTACACTTTGGGCTGTAAATCCTTATGGGATAGTGTTTGGACGATTTCTAGGGCTAGGATAAGCCTCAAATTCGTCCAAGGCCTATCTAAGGAAAGGATTATGATTGCTTAGAGTTTAAGTTATCCAATTAGGGTTTAAGGGTGAAACCCTAAGAGCCTTACAAGTATAAATAGACCCCTTGGGATAGGGAAATTGGCACCTCTTCTACAGCAAGGAAACCCTGGCCAATTTCCTCCTCTCTCCTATCTCCTAAATCATCCTCTTTGCTAGTTGGTGTTTGTAAGCCATTAGAGGAGTGACAATTGTGACTCTAAAGCTCCAAGAACAAGAAGATCAAATAAGTGTTTCAAGGTAAGCTTCTAACTCTGGTTTTGTATTGTTCTTATACCTAATTAGCCATTAGAAGTCTTGGATTCAATGCATGTTTAATTAGAGAAACCTAGATCCAAGCATTAGGGTTTGTATGTGCACATAAGAATGTTCATATGACTAGAACCCATCAGTGGAATCAGAGCCTAGATTGGTTTCTATTAAATTGTTGCTTGATTGTTTGAATCTTACCTGCAAAATTCGAATTTTGTGATTCTGAGTCGTGGACTCGGCGAGTTGGCCTGATTCGGCGTGTCCAGAGTGGGTACTCGGCGAGTCCGAGTGTCAGGAAGAGCCAAAATCGGGATTTTTTCATATTTATCTTATGGAAACTTACCTTTATCATATTAGATCAACCCAAATCCGATTTTATGATATATATATATATATATATATATATATATATATGACTATATTTTTGATCTAATTGAAGATATTTATCAATTAATAAAATATTTAATTTCCTTATATGATATTTATTAATTATTTTGATTAAATTGGTAAATTGTTTTTCAAGAAATCATAAATAAATCAAATATGGATAATTATGTGATTAATTGTTAATTTAAATTATTTGTTATTTGATCCTTTATGTTTTAAATGTTTAAAACTTGCCCTCAAGTTTTGAAATTTTGTTTTGTGATTAAAAGTTTAATTTAGACAATTTAAATTTCAAACCATAGAATTTTACAAGTTTAAAATACATCTCTATACTAATATTATATTACAAGATTAATATCTATATATGTATAACTTAAATGCTAGTCTTACCGTTAGTAGGTCTCATTCATGAAGCCGGTCTATAAGGTGGGTATAAGGTTGCGGCCTATAAAATGACGCTTAATGGGTGTACACTCACACCCACCACTTGCTTGATCGGTGGAGGGTCATTAGCCGAACGGGTAGGATAGGGCAACCTCATCCTCTCATTAAAAGTATAATATGAAATACAAAGTAACTACATGTTTTCTTAAAATTTCCCAATCTTAGTTACTTTAGGAAAAGTGAATTGATGCAATCCCATGAAATTACACTTTGCACCTTGCTAAGAAGTTAGTGGAGCGTGTGTGGTTTACCGGCACACTAATTGGTTCTAAGCGAAGGTGGCAAAGGGTGATTCATTGTTTATCATAGTTCGATGGAGCGTGTGTGGTTTACCGGCACATCGAATAGGTGATCGTTACAATGAAGGCACCATGTGAATTTGCATGGTAATTCACACCCGCTTTGTGATCCTCGGTATCCCAGTCACAAACAAGAAGGGCATATCGAGATTTAAACATGCCATTGAAAAGTTTCAATGAATCTTATCCAAACCTAGGAATTCTCAATACATTTAGGACTTAAAGGTATGTTTTTCATGGTGGAGAATTAGTGAATCGTCATTCGCTTACCTTCAAATTGTTTGCACATTAGATTACGGCATCCCTTTTCTAATGTGTAAATATTGTGGTTGGATCCTAGCCCTAATTTTTCTTATTGGGTGATAATTAGGGATTCATATTCTAATCTATCTTTGCCCTTTCTATTTGTAGATGTCGAACGCTAACAACGCTGCTGCTAGTTCATTCACTTTGATGAGCCTTTGTCAAAAGGTCACCTTCGATGGAACGAACTTTAGCGAATGGATAAGATACATTCGCACGATTGCTCGCTATGAGGATAAGGAGTATGTCCTCGATGAGAAGCTTCAGAAAATCAACCCTGAAATCGCTACTCCGGTTGAAATGACCGCTTTTGAAACCCACGAGCGTGATGCAACGAAGGTACATTGCATCATGATCGCCACTATGAACTCCGAATTCAGAAAGTCCTACGAGGACATATATCCGTATGAAATGCACCAAGACTTATTGGAGAGATACCACCAAAACGCGAGACAAGAGCGTTATGAGATTTTCACTAACATGATTTCCACTAAGATGGGTCATGGAGAGTCTCTTACCGTGCACCTGCAAAAGATGCAAAGGAATGTCGACCGTCTTCGCAAGTTGAATGTTGAATTTGGGGAAGACTTGGCGATCGACATGGTGCTTCACTCTTTGCCTCCAAGTTACAATCAATTTAGGATGACCTATCACATGAAC